ATTGCTGAATTGGAGGGGATGCGTGCAGGGCTGGCACTAAAGGGTGGTGTCTGTCAATGAGTTGGAGGAGACACATAGGAGGACAGCGCTAGGAGATGGTGTCTGTCAGTGAGGCAGAGCAGACACGTGTAGACCAGTAGTTAGGCAGCCCATCCGTTGGTGAGTCAGAGAGGACAAGCACAGGGGCAGTGGTAGGCAACCCATCTATCGCTGAGTCGGAGGCGACGCGTGTGGAGCCGGCACTAGGTGACCCGTCGGTCGATGAGTCTGTTAGTGAGTTGGAGGGGACACATGGTGCGGGCACTAGGCTACCCGTCCGTGAGTGAGGTGTGGGGGCGGGTGCTGGAAATATCAAGTGCCCGGAAGAGCAGCGGGAGAAAGCCTTGGCAGGGGTTGGCGCTCACTGGAAGTAAAGACAGGTCAGGCAGGAGTTTCAATGCCAGTAGCAATGGGGAAATGGAAAGTGACTGACTAGCGTCAGTGAGAGGCTGGGCGGGGGTGGTGGAACGCAGGGTGTCAAGAGCTAGAGAAGGAAAGTAGGGCCGGAGGACTAAGAGCCCAGGCCCCAGAGAGGAGGGGAAGTGAGAGTGGAGGGTGGGGCAGTGAGAAGGGAGGGGATGCCCAACGATGTCTGCTGCTATAATGCTGCCTTGGCCTGCCCTGCCTTCCTCAGAGACGGCCTGTTTCCATGGTGAGAGGAGGAAGGATGTGGTACTTCCCAATGTCTCATTCACTCTGTGCAGAACTGTTGCAAGGGCCTGCTGCATCAGACTGGAGGAACAGAGCGCCCCAGAGGTAGCAGGGGAGTCTAGCACATGCAGGGGTGGGTTGTCATTCCTGGGCCAGGACAGCAGTGGGGGGACACATATTTCCAAGGGCTGCTGATTGCACGAGGCTTGTAACCTCCCATGCCATGTGGAAACCAAACCCTCATTCAGCCCTTCACAGACACCCCTGAGCCCACCGCATGTCCTCAATATATCACCTCCAAAGTGGGGCGATGCCCACATTCAGCTGGCTGAGGTCACCACGGTTAGTGGCTTCCTCTTCCTCATCCTCTCCCTGGCAGAGCTGCCCACTCTCACAGTGTTGGGGGAGGACAGATTTGGGTTCTCATTAGCTCCTGATTTGTTGTCTTCAAACTTGTGAAATGTTGCCCTTATCCAAAATGGCCGCCTTCTTCTATTCCTCTCAATGGGACTGAAGCCAAGCTCCCCTCAGCCAAGATAGCTGCCGTTTCCTTACCGTCTTTGCCGATGACAGAGAGGCTCCTACAGGGGTTACAGGGAGGAGGTGGATGTAGTGGGTATTCTACCAAGCTCCGCCCATACAATAAGCCCCACCCACTCACAATGCCAGAATGAGACGCTGCTCTCAGAAGCTACCAAAAGGTGATAATGTGAGCTCTCTGCACTCCATGGGACCCTTGTGCTGGGCTCCCTGGTGGCAGGAGGAAACAAGAAGTGGTGGTATCTCCCAACCCAAGTGGGGGAGGGATAGCTCAGTGGTTTGAGCATTGGCCTGCTAAACCCAGGGTTGTGAGCCCAATCCTTAAGGGGACCATTTAGGGATCTGGGGCAAAAATTAGGGATTGGTTCTGCTTTGAGGAGGGGATTGGACTAGATGATCTCCTGAGGTCCCTTCCAACCCTGATATTCTATGATCTATGAACCCCACCTGCTCCTAGCGCCAGAATGAGCTATCACGCTGCACAAGTCTCCATACTGGACTGGCTGCTCTCCTTGCATGGGCACTGAAATAGTTCAGTGTTGACGCTGACATTTGACTTAGCACCCGCTGAAATAAGTGGGGCAGATCATACTTCAGAGCTACTGTCTCAGGCTCTTTGCAGACTCCGGCAGACATGGCTGCATTGGTATGTTCAGGTCAATTTTTATGTCACAACCATAATTGCTAGAGAGGCACTGTTGTTTAAATTGAAAGCTGAGACTCTGAAGAACAAGAGGGAAGACTGGGGAAGATGGACACACTGCAGTACCATGAACCAGCCTAATGCTAGCCCTGGCCTTCCCCTAGTAAAGATGGCCACTATCCCCCATTGTTTCCAATGGAGCTGAAGCCAGGCTGCCCTCAGAGAAAATGGTAGACCCTCAACGAGGGCCAGACAGGAGACATAAAAATATGGAGGTGCCAGGAATAAGCCTGTGATTGCAGCCAGGAAGGGGGAATGCATTAAGAAATTGGAGGTGTGGGGAGTAGGAGGAAGACTGAGGGAGATTACACCTTGGTGGGGGTGCGGTTCCTGGGGAGGTTGGTTGGGGTTTGGGGTTCCTGGGAAGCATAGTCGGACTCAGGGTTCCTGGGGAGATTAGATACAGGTGGGGCTCCTGGGGAGGTTAATTGGCGGGTTGGGTTCCTGGGGAAGTTACTTAGGGGGTGGGTGCCTAGGGCAATTAGATATGTGCTGGGTTCCTGGAGAAGTTTATCAGGGCCAGGTTCCTGTGGAGCAGGGGTTCTCAAACTGGGGGTCAGGACCCCTCAGGGGGTTACGAGGTTATTACATGGGGGGGTCGCGAGCGGTCAGCCTCCACTCCAAACCCCGCTTTGCCCCCAGTATTTATAATGCTGTTAAATATATAAACAAGTGTTTTTAATTTATAAGGGGGGGGGTTGCACTCAGAGGCTTGCTGTGTGAAAGGGGTCACCAATACAATAGTTTGAGAACCACTGCTGTGGAGGTTAGATAGAGGACAGGTTCCTGGGGAAGTTAATTGGGGGAGGGTTTCTGGGGAGGTTAGTCGGGGTTTGGGGTTCCTGGGAAGTGCAGTTCGGGGCAGTGTGTCTGGGGAGATTAGGTAGGGGACAGGTTCCTGGGGAAGTTAATCGGGGTCAGGTTCCTGGGGAGGTTAATCCTGGAGTTAGCTGTGATGTATTGAGGACTGTGTTGGAATTTCAAATGATCACTTTAAGAGTGGAGGTTTTCTTGCTATTGCTTGTAGTCTAATGGGCTCTCTAGGGAAGCCTGTGCTCAGAGTCACTCTGGAAAAAGCCAGCTTAGAACAAGGTGGGGTAAGTAGTGCCTCCTGCCTTAGGGAGCATCCTGGTTTCTTTCTTTCTGGTTTTGATTACCGTGTGTGATCCTTCTGGCATCTAAGAGTAAAAGTAGTGCTACACTGCACCCTTCCAGCAGGAGTATTTAATGTCTTTATCTAACTTCTCTGTGTGTAAGTCATGAACAACACTGGGGAGGTGTGTACTGGGGAAAATCCTTTGTATCACTCTAATGGCTTGTGGCGATGCTTGTAGCCGCCCTTATGGAGATGGGTCTGGTGCTGTGTATGTGCTCTAGGCAGGCCCTGGAGCTAATCTGAAAGGCCTGTGCTGGCTGCACAACAGGCCCCCTGGCCTGTCCTCATGACCGGCCTAGCATGGCTACTGCATCCCATGGGACTCTGCTGCTTGACCCTGAAGTGTTGGGGGAGGGGTCCAGGTGCCTATCAATGGCCAGACCCAGGAGTCCGGTCTCCTTCAGCCTCCTCTTGCCTAAGGTTGCTCAGTGCTAGTAGCTGGTGTTGAGTGCTCGCTGGAGCCAGTCCTTGCAGGCTGCCAGAGGAAGTGGTTAGCAGCACGTGATCAGCTCAGCCTAGAATTGCGTGAACCACAAACACCTTGAAGGGCTTTGATCCATGAGCTAAAACCCTGGTGATGTTTCTGTACAAGTTTCTCACCAGCCTGAGAGCGGAGCAGCTACTGCTCTCTGCAGATGCAGCCCAGCCTTTCAGCACCCTCACAGGAAGGAAATGACAAGTGCCATCACCCCCACCCACAAATGCACAAGCAGGGGGTTTTACACCCCTGTACTCAGTGCTGGGCCGGAGCCACATTCCAATGCACTCTTGCCAGGATCGTTCCAGGATTGGACTCTGCTCTCACTCACCCAGGGGATCTCCGTGGACATCAGCGACATTAGGCAGCTGAAGTTGGGCCCCCCCCAGCCTTGAAATGTGGCAATGCCTACAGCACAATGCACTAGTGCTGGGATCTGCTAACTCCCCGCTCCAACTCGTCGTACGATTCACCCTCCCAGCTCATCTGGTGCCAGTGGCCACCTCCAACCAGCAAGGGAAGGCAAACTCCACAATCTAGGGCCCCAGCAGCAGGATTCATCCTCCTGCATCACTGTCACTGTGGGATTCCAATGCCAGGTCACTGGCCCCTGGAGCAAGAAGCCAAGCGTCGGATTTTCACCCTGCACCATTGTCAGTTCTGAGCTCTTCAGCCCCATGCAGGTCTTGGAAAATGAAAGTGAGCTCAGAGAAGAGCAACCCCAGTGATCAGGTGGGGTTGGGAAATCGGGAGTGGTGGCCAAGGAGACACACAGTGCAGCTAAGTGCTACCTGATGGGGAAGGGAAGGGTGGGGGAGGGGGATCTAGGGAGATGCGCAGAGAGCAGCTAAGTAGATGCAATGGAGAGACACAAGCAGAGGAAATGTAGGCTGAATATCAGGAACATTTTGCTGGCATTGGAATAGTGTTGTTCCCCCAGAGAGGTGATGGGGGCCATGGCTTACCACTAAGCAGTCTAGGCTGGACCAAACTTGCGACATTCCTGCAGCGCCCAGGGAGTGGGATGAGTGGCACCAAGGGCCAAGAGGACTTTGCCATTTCTAATTCCTGTAGCTCCACAATACGCTACCAGCCCCAGACATGGCACAGGGTCTCTGTCCAGACTAGTCACCCTCCCACCCACCATCATGGGGGGGTCTGCTCTCAGCACAGTCCTTCTGGGGGGGCGCAGGCTGGCGCTGTCCACCCTAGCAGGGCCTGATGAGAGACCATCCTTCTGTGGAACTGGCTGGATCAGTCAGCTCTGCCAGCGTCTAGTGTCTGGGCCATGAACCAGAAGGCAGCACGGAGCTGCTCAGAGCTGGGATCTGGGGGAGGGGAGAGACTGAGAGAGCCTGCACCTGGTGGGCTCGTCACAGCTGAGCTGTGGGCCGCCCTTTGCTGGAGTGGGCAAGGGCGCTTCTCACACTCACCTTCTTCTTCTGCGCCTGCTCCTTGTCGCTGGCGTTGGACGGTTTGCGGCGCAGCATGGTGCTTTCTCCAGAAAGGCTGGCACACGACAAGCAAGGGGAAGGCTGAGCCGAGGAGCACAGCACCCGGCGTGTCGCTTACTGCACCCGCAGCCGAGGTAGACACTGGGAAATACACAGGAAGCCGTGGCGTCACATGAGTTGCACTTACGGCAATTGCTGCTCCAGGGCAGCTGGTGCTGGGGGAGGAAGAAGGAAGTAGCTGGGGAACGGTCTCCCTGCCATGGAACCCGGTATCCTGTGTGCCAGGGAGGGCACAGCCCACGTGCCTGGACACAGAGGATCCTTTGCGTGCCCTCTCAGCAGACACTGCTACAGATATTCACGACCAGTGCATTCCCCACCACTGGCTGCACAGATCCCTCTGGGGGGTGCCTCCCCTGAACTGGCTCCAAACTGGTTTATACATTTCTCCAGAGGGGCTGGAGGTAGCCTTCACGCAGTGGATTCCTGGTATTGTCCACATGAGCACCAGGCAATTGAATTCTGTCCACAACCATTGCTTGGGTTCTTGCAGGGTTTAACCTTAGTCACCTTTCAGCCTGTGAAACAATAACCACCTGCCTCACAGCTATAGAACATTCATAGACATGAATGCAGATAATCCCCCCCGTGTTCTGCACAGTGCCGTTTTGGCCATCCCCAGTGTGCGGCTCTGTTCCTTGCACAGTGGGAGTGCCTCCTACACACACTCCTGTAGGGCCACTGTGCATGGAAGGGGCAGTGATTCAGAGCACGTGTCCCGCCTTGCAGTCATCCTGCCCTCAGGACTCCTGCAGTGGTCTCGTCCATGCCAAGAGTGGGGCAGCTGGTGTAAGGTCTAGCACCCAGGCCTGCAGAGCTGCCAGGCAGCAGACACTCAGCAGCAGCTGTAGCCAATTTGCATTCCACTGCTGTGGACATAGACATGGGAAATCCCGCCTCAAGGAGTCTGACAGGCAGCAGCCTCATGGCTCCTGTTTGGCTCCCTGCCCTATATAAATCCCAGGGGCAATCCAGAAAGTGTCCCAGGAAACTGTGTGGCTCATAGGTGCCCACTCCATGGGTGCTCTGGGGCTGGAGCACCCACAGAAATAAAATAGTGGGTGCTCAGCACCTACCAGCCACCCGCCAATCAGCTGTTTGGAGGGCCCTGAGGATCAGTTGTTTGGCAGTGGGCGGAACGTGTGGGAGAGAAGGGGTGGAGTAGGGGTGGGAAGAGGCGGAGCAAGGGTGGGCTCTGGGGGGGGAGGGGGGAGTGGAGGCGGGGCCTCAGGGTGGAGCAGAGGTGGAGCACCCACCGGAAAAATGAAAGTTGGTGTCTGTGGTGTGGATCTCCTCGTACGCTGCCTACTCTTAGTGACTAGTCTCCGAGACAGTGCACTGAAGCAGCCCAGCTCTACCAGTTCCAGTGGGGACTACATAAGGAGATTAAGCTCGTGTGGAGGCCCTGACCAACCTAGATGCCTTTGTCTACCTTGTCATATGCATTTGACAATAGGCTTAGTGAACAATGCGAGGAAAGTAAGGGGTCTGTGTTACCACCTGGCCGGTGCCCCTCAATACTTGTCTTCAACCCAGACCTCAAACCCATGTAGCCAGATAGAGCCTGCCGCCATGTGGCCCCATGGGCTGTGTTTCTACTGTGTAGGGTCCAGCCATACTCTTGCCAACTGGCCACCTCTAGCACAGGAGCTCTGGCACAGGAAATCACCATGCCCAGGCCCGGTACAGGAGGTTGGCCTGGGTGAGCCCCAAGATAATGCCCCCCTAATCCTCACCAAGGCATGCCATGTATGGTGAGCACTTCCTGCACCTTCAGGTCCTGGTCTGACTCCATGTTCCGGGGAGCCTTGCTGAATTGCCCCACAGTGGGCACTGGTAGATTCTGGGGCAGTGGACAACTTCATAGATGCCGATACGGCCCAAGCCCTGGTATTCTGGTTCAACCAAAGATTGTCCCCAAACTAATGGAGACTGTAGATAGCTCTCTCCTGTCATCAGTGCCAGTGACACAGGAAATGGTTCCTCTGGGAGTTGCTGTTCAGGACCATCAGGAGGTCCTTCAGTTCGGAATGATCTGCTCACCACACTTCCCCAAAATCATTGGCATTTCATGACTGGTGACTGATGATCCACACATCCTTTGGCATGAGCATGAGGTTAGCTTCTGCTCCAAGTTCTGCCAGCAAGTCTGCCTACCTGCACTGTCTGATGAACCCGAGAACCAAGACACGCCCCCGTGGTCCTGGCCATGGGTCAGGTGGACAGTCACTAGACTTGACTCCAGCACTTCTCCCTCCAGTACAGAGAGTACAGTGATATCATTAAAAAGAAGAATGCTGAGACTCAATCACCACACCATGATTATGACTGCCCAACTGAGCTGCAACAAGGGGCCAGGGTGTTGTTTGGCCATATGTGTTGTTTGGCCATATTTGGCAAAGTTAGAACCAGAGCTGGTAGCCCTGCGTTCCTATCCCAGGAGAATCTGCCCAAGGGTTTCATACGGCCATCTGCCTCTCCTGCTGGGGCCCCAGTTCTGTTCATTAAAATAGAAAGATGGAATCTTGTGCCTATATGCATGGATTACTGGGCCCTCAATGAGGTTAGCATCAGGAATCAACACCCATTTCCACTAATCCTGGAGCTACTGGACTGTGTATGATTGGCCTAGGTATTCACAAAACTCGACATGCAGGGGCCCTACAATCTGGTTCAGATCTGAGCTGGGGACAAGTGGAAGATGGCTTTTCAAACCTGGTACAGTCACAACCAATACCTGGTAATGCCATTAGGCCTTACAATGATACCTGCAACATTCCAGCATTTTGCGAATGAGGTCTTCCATAGCATCCTAGACCAGTACAGTCTACCTGTAATATCCTCATCTTTTCTGAGGATCCCAAACAACATACTCAGCATGTCCGGTTGGTCTTGGAATGGCTCTGTCAACATGGCCTATAGGCAAAGCTGGAAAAGTACAGCTTTGACCAGTGTCCATCATGTTCCTGGGCTATATCCTGTCCCCCGATGGCCTCTGAATGGACCCCAAGAAGGTGGAAGTGATACTGACGTCGGTGTCCCCCCAAAACATCAAGGAGCTACAATGCTTCCTGGGGTTTGCTAATTTTTATAGACACTTCATCTCAGGGTTGTCAGGCCAAATCTCCCCATTTACAGAGCTTCTCTGCAAAAACGCCACCTTCACCTGGTCTCCGGAGGCCCAATAAACATTCAGCCAGCTCAAGATGACCTTTACCAGTGCCCAAATCCTGGTCCATCTTGACCCAGCACGACCTTTCATTGTCGAGACCGATGCTGCCAATGTGGCAATTGCGGCCATACTCTCTCAAAGGCATGGTTCTCAACAGCACCTCCCCCTTGTGCCTACTATTCACAAACGTTCACTCCAGTTGAACAGAATTATGAAATTCTAAATAAGGAGCTTCTAGCCATCAAAGTGGCCTTTAAAGAGTGATGCCACTATCTGGAGGTCCAGGATGGCTTGCTCTGTGTCAAAGGCCCCTTGTATGTTCTGCCAGGAACCCCACAGTTAGAGATACTACAGCTCTGTCATGACTCACCATTAGCAGGCCATCTGGGCACCTCAAGACCTTCTGTTTGGCCATCTGCTCCTTCTGGTGGCCCCGAATGCGCATGACCATACACTCAGATGCTGATTCCTGTAAGACATGCACCTACACCAATAGACTGTGCTCGAAACCCCTGAGCACCCTAATGCATTCCAAAACCCAATCTAGACCCTGAATGGCCATTACCCTAGACTCCATAGACAAGCTTCCCATCTCTAACTGGCACATTCTAGTGCTCACTGTGGTTGACCAGTAGACAAAAATGGCCCAACTCATCCCCATTGCACACCTGCCCTGTGCAGAAGAAACGGCCCAGCTCCTGGTGACTCATGTCACCTATCTCCATGGACTCCCACAGCAAGTCACAACTGATTGGGGTCCACAGTTTGTGTTGCAATTTTGGCATGAACCCCTATGATTGTTTGGGGTCCGGACTTACACATCCATCGCACATCACCCACAAACTGACGGTTGGTCAGAACGAGCAAATCAAGTGTTACAACAGCACTTGTGCTGCTTCAAGAATTTCCACCAGGACAACTGGTCGAGCCTCCTACCCGAAGCAGAGTTTGCTTACAACAACACTGGCCACATCCTCACTGGGCAGTCTGTTCTATGAAACCTGTGGCTTCCACCCAGCCATACTTGTCATCTCCACCAATCCCATGGCTGCTAATTGGGAGCAGCAGATCCACGAAGTCCAAGAAGAACTCAAGCCCCATTTGGACAAGGATAAGGAGGACTACACATGGTGTGCCAACTGCTGGTGCCAGGAAGGCCTGGCATTCACCATCTGGGAAAAAGTGTGGCTTTCAGCCCAAAACCTTTACACGAACTGCCCGTATTGTAAACTGGACTACTTATACCTTGGCCGTATTCCATCAGCTGGGTAATCAACCCAGTGACCAGAAAGCTTTGGTTAACCAGATCTCTCAAAATACACCCAGTGTTTCACGTACCCTTGCTAAAACCCTACATCAATGGCCCCTTCACTCACTGGGCTCAACCACTGCCTCTTCTGGTGTGGATCCAAGGATGAGTATGAGGTCCATGAGATACTGGACTCAAAAATCAGATGTGACTCCCTCTTGTACCTCATTGACTGGGAGGGCTACGAAGAGTAAACATGGGAGCCTGTGTCCCAAGTCTATGCACCTAATCTCATGGTAGCCTTCTATGCAATCCATCCAAACAAACCCAGGCTGGCAGGGGGCACTCCTGGGGAAGAGTGTAATGTAAGGCCCTGCAGGTCTAGAACCCAGGCCTGCAGAGCTGCTAGACATCTGACATCACCAGGCTGCCATCCAGAAGGAGCTGTTTGTGCTCCACTGCTTATGATCTGCTGTGGACACTAACCAGGGGAAGTCCCGCTTCAAGGGGTCTTACAGGTAGCAGCCTCCTAGCTCCTGATTGGCTCCCCTCCCTATATAAACCCCAGAAGTATTCCAGGAAGTGTCTGGGCAACTGTGTGACTATCCTGTAGCAGCCATGACTATGCCTGCTCTTGAACTCCTGGC